TTTTTTTTTTTCTTTTTTTTGGGGTGGTAAATATGCTAAAATATTTGAACCTGGCTACATGTTGTGTACCTTTTTTTTTGAAGCCTTCAGATAGAATAAGCCTGCCATTTCTTGCACAAATTTATTAAATTTGTTTTGTTTTTGTGGGGGAGGGTGTAGGCCCAGGTGGGGAAATGGGACTGTTAGGTTGAATTAACATTACAAAATGATACAGTGCCAGATCTCAGTTTTGCATATTATTTTTCAGGGCAGGTCTGTACTGTGTGTAGTGCTGTTTACATGGTTGAATTTAGGTTGTAATAATTATTTTAAAAAATTTACACAGATATGAATAGCAGTGTTAACTGTTAGCCACATTGCATTAATTTCCAGACAGTTTGGAGCTCTTGGAGAGCCAGGGCCAAGGCCAGTCAAGAGCATTTGCAGTCTGACACACCACCCCATCCCTTTAAGGTAATTTATCCAAAGCCCTTACCTCCATTACTTTTTGCTCATTCCTTCTTTGACCCATTGCATTTTATGTTTAATTTACCCATCACCATGCTGTACCTGTCGGTCAAGTGAGCAATTTTGTTTTGTTAGAACACATTGTACTGAAAACCACTTAAGCGTTGAATGCAGAGAAAGCAGTGCTACCTCAGTTTTGCTGGAAGTAGACTTCTTTGATAGTTTTCTTTAATGTTTTTGTATTTTCATGTCATAAGTGGAAATACTTTGTTTTTTTTTTTTTTTCTTTTTCATTTGCCTTGGAGCCAAAGTTTCTGTTCCAGATGGTAAGAAAAGTGTGCCTGCCGGCCAGCTGACCTAAAAAAAAGCTATGGCATGGAACTCTGCTTCAAACTGTTTTTTTCTTTAATTTTTTTTTGAGTATCATCAGCTTACTTGTCTGGCAAGTGCAGAAGCCTGAGGCTGGCCTGAACTCTGCCAAACAAATTATCCAAGTATATTGAATCATTAAATGTGTGCCCCTCCCTCTTTGCTGCGCCCATGTTGTCACTTAACCCCTAGGAGTTATTTATTATCTTTTTGTTAATGTCAAGCTCATTTGGGGTAATGTGATGACTGTTTAGGTTTACATGACCCTCTTCTCCTTACCTTATCCCCAGATATGTATATATACATATATAAGATATGTATATATTTTACCTTTATAAAATATATATATACACATATATGTATCTATATTCCTTTATTTGTCTGCTAAAACTGGCCATAAAAGAGGGAGCTGCCTTTGATCTGTAGTTTAAGAAGATGCCAGGGAGTGTCATAAATGGAGGCTATTGTATTATGAATTTGGACATTTTGACTAAAGCGAACTTGAATGAATTTGCTTGCAGGAAGGAGAAACCAGTTCTCTAGACTCCACATGTTCACTCTGCAAGGCCAGCTTTGGTCAAGGTGCCACCAGGGCCTGAGGAGCTGACTCTGTCCTACCTAGTTTCACTAGAGGACCCTCTTGGTAATTTCCCATTAAAAAATATCCTCTAAAAGTTGTACTGGAAGGTGGGTGGCAGGAGCTTGTACAGTTCAGCTTCCAACACTTCGGAACAGATTTAAAAGGGAATCTTTTAATAAAAGTTACAAAAATATTTATACTCTTGATACAATGAAAAGTGTCTATTAAATACTTGGAATTTTCTCCCTTGATTAGTCTACCCCAAATCCTGGGTATATGTTTCTCACCATGGGCAAGAGTTGCATGCTTTGAGTTTTTTATGAGTCTTACAGCTCTGGGCTCCTATCTTTATAAAAGATGGTATTTAAGGAGATGACAGTCCTATTTCCTAAAATTGGTATTGACACAGGGAACATTTTTTGTAGGCCTGACAATTGTCCTTTCTTGAGAGACAGATGAGAAACCTGAAATGAACCACAGACTTAAGATAGTGCTGGCAGGCTAAAGAGCAGGCTGTTAGGCCAGATGTGCCCCTTTCTTCTAGCCATAGTAAGACTGTTCTTGAGTGAGTATCCAGGGACCCAGCAGTTTCTGAGGGCACAGCTACACAGCAGCCTTTGGAGAAGACCTCATCCATCCAGTCCAATGAGGGAAGAAGTGGTGGTGTTCTAGGTAAGACTTTCTGTTGCAGATAAGAAAGGGTATATGTGGCAGGGAAGTGCCAAGAAAGGGAGGCCATTGAGGGTTTCATGGACTTGGAGGAACTAGATTTTAACCAATTGCTCAGTTTTTCCAACCCCAGTCATTTAGAAATTATTTGTGATTGTATTTTTAATGGTCTGTTGTTGAGAAACCAGAGAAAGGAACAGTTAGAGAGGAACCTGGGGTTCTCTTTGCAGTAGTTTTTGTTTATTTTACCAAGAGATTTACAGTGAGATTAAGTTTTGTAGTTAACACTTCTGAGAAACAAAAGCCTCTGCTTCACTCAGCCTTAGATAGGCCTAATGTTTGCCCCTTGGGTAAGCCAACTTTGTGACACTGGGGTGATGTGGGGAGGGGCAATTTATGCGTGCCATTTTGGAATTCTGCAACATCTAAGCATTGTTATACAGACAGAATCTGTTGGAAAATTGCTTACTTTTGGCAAGTGTCTTTTTGAGTTTCCATGGTATTTTATTTTAGTAATTTATTAGCGAGCTGGTATAAGATAAAGGGTTGCTCTATTGAATTCTTTCCCCTAGCCTCGCCAAACTTGAATGTATCATTCTTACACTTTGCTGTACTACTAGGGATTGCCTCAGCAGCTCATTTGACTGTGGCAGATGTGCCCATGTGTGTGTTGGGTCCAAAAGTCTGTATGTACCCATCTGATAAAGAAAAAAAAAATCTTCAGAGCTAGCTGAAAATTCCAATTTCAGGCAAAGCTTTGGGCTAAGGGAAAGATAACAGAAATTGTACAAAAGCAGTATTGTTCATATTGGATGGACAAAGTGAAGAGTTAAGCTGCACATAGTATTAGCTTGAAACAGTACTGTCTCTTAGGGCCTGATCTTTAGGCCAGATCAGGCTATGGGACCCCCCAGATTATGTACTCGGACCATTGGTAGGAAGTTGCTGAGAGCTATATATTGGAATGTATGGTTTGCTATATTTCAAGTGGGGTCTTCAGTGCAGCAGGTAGACCCAGTTATACAATTACATAAGGGACAGAAAGAAAGCTACTGCTAAGAATTTACCTGCCCCCTCTTTAGACTTCTTATTCTAGCATGTATGTTAGGATGACTAGTGATGACCTGAACATCTTGGTTAACTGACCAGGGTCAAGGACTCAAGCAGTATTTAACTTAAATACTTGAAATGACAAAATTAACAAAATATGTCAATTACGGCTTTTTAAGGACATGTGACATTGATCCTCCCTTCTGGGTCATGTAGAGGAAGTTCTTGCCACTCCTCTTCAAAGTACATTCCTATGTTAAGCTGTAATAGCAGCCCATACCAGTTGGCCCAGGACTACATGCTGGGGATGCTTACCAGCTCCCTCTCTCCCTTAAGCATTGGGTGCAGATGCTGAGATGGTTTGGTTAGCTGAATAATCAAGTTTGATTCTAGTGTTGGGGTGTTATGTTCTGTTTCTCTTAGAAACCCAGCCTGCTCTCATAGATACCTACTTCTATTACATATCTTGAACATTGCCAAAAGAAGCCATTCAGCAGCTGCTTTTTTTTTCTCAGTACAAATATATTTGCTATGGAAGAAGTATCTTCCCTCTAATGCTGCAGTCCTCAGAATCTGGTTAACTGCTCTTCCCTGCTGCACTGAGTATGGTTCTAGGTTTTGAAGAGGGAATTTGAAGCAATAGGTAAACAGGGCTTGGTTGAATTGGTCTCACATATATACTGTCTTAAGCCGCTGAGGTGATGAGTCCACTGCTCATGTGACCCTACACCTTTGTGGATACCTCTTGGTTTGTGACCAGCATATGTTTCTTGAGGTTGTACAAACTTGACAAAAGTTAATACTTTTGTATTCTCTGCACTGTTGCACTCTTCAAATAGCCCCTTGAATATTAACTTGATATATACATTTTTGTCTTTGATGTCTACAGTATTTTTTTTTGTTTTTGTTGTTTTTTAATTTGAAGGTTATCTGCTGTTGGATTCAATAAATTTGTTTACCTGACTATTGATATTTCTGCAGAAAACAAATAACATGAATTTATTCTGAGGCATAAGTTATCCACTTTTCCAATGATGCTATGTTATATTAACAGCTTGGGAAAATGACCTATGTAGGATAGAAGCCCAGCTCCAAACACAAATGACCTCCATGCACTGTGAATGTTTATATGCCCACTACTGGAATCATCTTTCTTAAGTAACTCATGAGTAAAGTCAATCTGGAGCCCTGTGTTAAATGTATGACCCTATAGGTCTGATCAGGCTTGAAGTGATTGAGTTTACCTTTTATTCTGCAAAATAAAGTCATCTCCATCTGTATTAGAATTTAAGAAAAAGTTGTGAGATACCCAAGATTCTCCAAAAAGATATTAAGTACTTTGGGGGATGGTGGCAGAGTTTTTTGGCATGACATTTGATCTTTCATCACTCATTGCTCCCTAAAAGGGCTCCACTTTCTATTGTGCCAAACTGAAAGAGGAATGTAATACAAATAAATAAATGACCCAGAGACTGATACTGGGGTTTAGACTTCAAGCTGAAGTTTAGAAAAGCAAAGTAGCTGGCTATTAGCTATTACCTCAGGCTGAATGGGCTGATCCTGTCTCCATGAGCTCTCACCAAGCCTCAGACTGTAACCTCTCCTTATCATGGCTGGAGAATGAATGCCTCCTACTCAGTGCTGAAGACCCTGCTTCTTTCTTTTCTATCCCTCTAGTGCTGGGATTAAAGGTGTGTGTTCTGTTACTCTTTTAGACTGATTCAATCTCATATATCCCTGGGTGGCCTTGAACTCAGAGAGATCCATCTACCTTTTAATCCTGAGTCCTAGGATTAAAGATGTGTGCCTGGCTTCTGTGGCTTGTGGCTGACTTGGCTTTCTGAATCTTCAGGCAAGCTTTCATAAATCATAAATAACAAATCACCATAGAGGAAAAATTTAACAGGAACTCGCAAGTAGCCATTTACTTCTTAAGTTCTAGACTTAAGACCTTTAGTTTCTTTCTTGTATTTTCTGGTTATTGTCTGTTTAAGAATAGCACTGACCAACCAACCATCTTGCTCATTTCTCTGGTGGAAGTGCTGAGGGTTCCTCAAAAGTTCCTAGCCTCTTGGTGTCTCCTAAGATCTATTAAGTGCAGAATAGGGATCAGAGAAACATTTTCAGTTGGAAAGGGCTTAAGTAAGCTTGATATTTCCTAAAATACGTGTAGTTTTACCCTTGTTCCACATTCCTCCCATTGACTCCTGGGTTTGTTACTTCTGTGCTTTGTCTCCTTTATTAAGCACAGATTAGAGAGTAGCAGAATAGAATGGAATATAGCCAGTTTGGGTGCTGTTAAGAGTGCTGAACTGATTATAAGCAGATAAAAATCCTATTTTCAATTAAATGATTGGCAAGTAGTTCTTATACAATTATCAGATGAGTATAATTGCAAGTTACAGCTTACCAAGGAAGTATACTAAAAAGTAGTTCAGAGAGATAAGAGTCTCTTCAATTCTTGTCTCTCCTATGAAGTTCTCAAAGCAGATTGCTGAGTTGGCTCTGGAAGTTATCTCTCTACATATGACAGAAAGGTACTATATACCAAGGTAAGTGCCAGGAAGTATAGAGGCCAAATCATTAGAAATATATAGGCCTTGCCATTGGTTGTTTACATTGATTGTTGAATCAATCCGGACTTTAAATTACAAGATTCCCATGCCTTAACAAGCAAACTAGAGCCGGACGTTGGTGGCACATGCCTTTAGTCCCAGCACTCAGGAGGCAGAAGCTGGCAGATCTCTGTGGGTTTGAGGCCAGCCTGGTCTACAGAACGAGTTCCAGGACAACCTCCAAAATAATACAGAGAAACCCCATCTCGGAAAAACCAAAACAAACAAAAAAGGCAAATTAGAAAGCAATTTTAAGACTGACAGATGGAAGGATACCATATTTAATCCACAAGAAGCTCTTAAGTCAACATGCAAAAGTAGTTGGCTTCCCAACAGAACAGGTAGCAGATATACACAACTCACCGAAGAAAATCTGGCTGAGTAAGTTGGATGCCAGTCTAAGTGGTACTCAGGAAAATAGCAATTAAACATGAAAACTGTTCCTTAATGTAGCAACTTGGCAAAGATTTGAGATAAATTATGCTAGTAAATAGTAAAATCTTTCTGTAGTTAAAAGTATCAATATGCATTAATACAGTAACTTTTTCATACCGGTCAAGTATATATGTGCAAGAATGTAACCTGCAGCTTCAGAGTCAACAAAGTAGTGTTCTAGAAATTATGAGTTATGATACTACAATGTTATGCAGCTATTGAAAAAATCTGAATGATAACAAAAAATCTAATATTGTAAAATATTGGCAGTCATTACTTCTGGGTGGTTAGATATAACCTTAATATTTCAAACTTTTACTGACTTCCCATATATTTTCAGAGGTTCAAGGAAATAGAAACAAATGTGGCTTAGTGTTCTGAGCATTCAACCCCAATATAGGCACAAGTTTAAAACCCAAACCAAGAGTTCTGTAAAAACCTTCAGTTCCCTTTTCCCTTGGGGTTGACTTTTCCCTAAGACTGCTCCTCAGGCAGCTGCCTTGGCAGCTCAGCATTGGCTGCCTAGAGGGTGTGGGAGGAACAATGCACAAACACACTTATGAATGGAATGTGTGTTTTGCAAGAGGCCAAGTTGGCAGCTTTGGTTTCCAAAAGGTGGGAGCATCAGCTGGAAGAACACAGTGTGCAAGAAAGTCTCGGAGGCTTGAAAGCTAGGTCCATTTCTGCAGTTTGGGCCCAGGGAGAATCCTTTGTCTATGCTGAAGGAAATAGCCTTGCCCAATTCAGAGAGCCTCAATATCTTCTTGTAACACTTTGCATAGGCCCCTAATGCTTGTCACTTACTGAGCACTATTCATGCTGGACTTTTGCTAATTTAATCTTCCTAACAACACAGTCTCAGGAAAAATGGTTCACAGTCTACTATTCTTGACATTTTCCATAAGCAAGTCTCATAATTCTTAGAAGTAGGTATTTCCTCATCTTATACAGCTGTGAAAACAGACTCAGAATGATCCAAAACCCAGCAACACAGCTGAAGTTCTAACCCAGGCCTGTGCATGTCCACTAGAGGCACTGTCTTTCAGGACAGGAGCCTTAAAAAGATAGGTATCAGTTGAACCCCACTGCTTTAGAGCTCAGCTAGAAAGGAAGCTCAAGTTGGCAGAACACAAGTTTGCTCCTGACAGAGGGACTTTCATGAAGCAGTGTGTTAATCTAAAATCAAACCCTGGTTCCACTTATGGTCCAGTCTTACAGAAGCTTCATTTAAGGGTTAAACTGTGCCCTAAGTGCCCAACCCTAAATTTTCAGAATTATTTCTTAGCTAACTACAACAGTAATGATGCTGGACTTTTTTTTTTTTTTTTTTTTTTCTCAAGACAGGGTTTCTCTGTAGCTTTGGAGCCTATCCTGGCACTCAGTCTGGAGACCAGGATGGCCTCGAACTCAGAGATCTGCCTGCCTCTGCCTCCCGAGTGCTGGGATTAAAGGCATACAGCACCAATGCCCAGCGATGCTGGACTTTTTATCTATTTTTTTGAAAGAGGGTCTCATTACAGCTACAGCCTTGGGTGGCCTGGAAGTCACTATGTAGACTGACCAGGCTTTCAAACTCTTATGTACCTGGCTCTGCCTCCAGAGTGGGTGTAACACCAAGCCTGCCTGGTTTGTTTGTTGTTGTTGCTGTTGTTTTTTTTAAAAAACAGATCCTTACATAAAAGCATTTTGTAAAACATGATTTGCCAGTCCTACTAGTCAGAAATACTGTTAACATTTTGGCACACAGCATTCCCAGGCTTAGTTCCAGTCCCATGTATAGCTTTGTACATTTCCCCTACACAACAGGAATCAAAACGATAATAGTAGCCAGGCAGTGGTGGCGCATGCCTTTAATCCCAGAACTCGGGAGGCAGAGGCAGGTGGATCTCTGTGAGTTCGAGGCCAGCCTGTGGTCTACAAAGCTGCACAGAGAAACCCTGTCTCTGAAAAACAAAACAAAAAAAAACTATAATACTGTTTCATAACCTTACAGACACATGCATGCACATGCATGACTCTCAACTCAAGTTCATTTATCTTCAGTGATAATTCTTAGAGCCAGGTGCGGTGGCAAATGGCTTTGATACGGAAGACAGAGGCAGGTGGATCTCAAGTTTGGGGACAGTATAGTCTACACAGTGTTCAGGACAGCTAGGACTACATAGTGAGGCCCTGTCTCAAAAAGCCAAATAATAATTTCATGAGATACTAGTATCTCTGCCTGGACTGGACTAACAGTATTTAACTTAAGTTGAGCAATCCAGTACTTTTAAAAAGCTGGGATTAGAAGAGGTGCATGTACACAGCACACTTCTTTGTAATAACACCATGGCAACTACTTTGCACATTTTTGTACAAGCATCTTACTATTTTCAATTCTTATGGTGTAGCTGTAGGATCTGAGTATTAGAAGCAAGGTTTTAGGTGTGACTGACAGATTAGTTCACTTTGTCTGGAGCATTTCATATTTACCAGATTTGCAATTGTAAACCTGTGTCCCATCTTTCCAACAGTGTTACTAGTTAGTCACCTTAAAACTTAGCATTGTTTCTCTGAGTTTTGAAGTTTCCATTTTCCAAGTGGTGCCCCGGTGTGATGGGGCCACCTGCTGGCGAAGGGTGATGCTGCAGCTGTATCCCAAGAAGGAGGGATTCCCAAACATGGAAGTATGTTTTAACTATCATCTTTGTTCTTGCCAGATGTTTAGTTCAGTGTATCAACTGCCACTTTGACTTTATAACAGATGCCAAAGAGTAAACAGGTTAGCCAGTTACTTACAGAAATTTGATGCACTGGCTGGATTTTCTTCTCTTGGTCTTTGCAGTATATGCCATTTAATAATGGTAGTGCTACAGCAACCAGTACCTGTGTAAATAAACTCCAACACAAAACACTCACCCCCCTCCCATGTCTTAAGAGGAGGAAATGTTTTGAGTTTTAGGCATTTATTGAAATTTTGAACATGACAATATACTTTAGCTGGTATCCTAACTTTTTACCAAAGCTGTCTGCTAGATGGAAAGGTTTGTCATCCTCTCGCAGGGGCTGTAGCTTAGCCACATTCTCTATATGTAAAGTGGCACTTGGAAAGTATGGGGAGACTTACACTCCCAGGCCTGGGGTGTCATTTTCCTCTTCTTTTATTTTCATCAGTCCTAGGCCTGGGTGTGATCCAAAAGTGCTGCAATAAAAAATGAAAACATGCTTTTATCTATAGGACTAAATGAATGGCTATATGCTCCTAGGATAGAGGAGTAGGTGTGTACAACACACCAAGAGGCAGATTCATGGAAAGCTACCTGCTGGAGTGGGCTTAGTGAAGAAGCCTACTTCATACCCTAGCTTTGCTGCTAAAGAGATACATTTTAAATGCCTAATTTTTTTTTTCTTTCAACCACAAAACTCTAAAATATTTAAGTTACTATGCCACTAAGGCTTAAAGAAGCATAGCAATAACCAGCATTCACTGAACACTTATTACAAATCAAGTACGGACAGTTTTAGACACCTGTCTCTAATCTTGAATAACAGCTCAGTGATACAAGTATTCAATCCATTTCAAAGCAAAGAGACTGATACATAACTTGTTTAAGTCTTACTGGCAGGTTTCAGTAATGAAAATCTGTCTTCAGAGTCCTTAGAAACTGGGGTTAGTCTTTTCATTTTCCTTAAAGACTTTGTTAGTGCCATCTGAAAAACTTTATAATATTACTTATTTAATGATGCATGCCATTAGAACAGTGCTTACAACTGAGGAGTCATCTGATACCTACCTGTTCACTGCCACCTTTTGTGAATATTCATGGGACTGGATTTAGAGAGCTAAAGGAGCTCTTTGATACAAGGAAGGCAGAAAATGAGCAAAACACAAACTGCTAACCTGTTGTCTAGCAAGTATTCCACCTTTTGTGAATATTCATGGGACTGGATTTAGAGAGCTAAAGGAGCTCTTTGATACAAGGAAGGCAGAAAATGAGCAAAACATTTTACGATTCAAAGCCTTTTACGATTCAAAGCATGAGTAGTTGCACTTACTAGTTGTGTGACCTTGGTAAATTGCTTAAACAGAGGCATTACATTTGTGCTTAATAAGGATTCTAGTAATTCTGACCCAAAGTATGTAGCACAATACTTGCTGTGGGTATGTCTGACATTCCCATATGCTAAGGGAGTCTAGTGAGTCTCCTGGATCCTTGCCCACCTGCACCATACCAGACCTCTGGACCTAGAATAGATAAAACATCTTGTGCACTGGCTCAGTCTGCTGAGTCCCAGGACTCTTGCCTGTTTATGCCATCCCCAACCTCATTACCTAGTCATCCCACATCCTGGCCAAGTCCTGTGAGTATCCTGAACCCTCACCTGCCTGCCATGTTCCTAATCCTAAAACCCTGCTTTAGTCACACAACTTTTACCCTGGCTTAGCCTGGAGAGTATCCAAGATGCTGGCTTACCCAGCGAACCCAGCTTGCACAATAGCCATCCATCCCATCTAGCTGTATTTCTTGAATTGGAATCACCTGTTTGTCCAATCAACACTGAGTATCTGAAGGACTGACTACCAATTCTTGATACCTGATCTGAAAGCAACCAAGCTTGGGCAATAACAAAACCAAAACAAAAGTTCTAATCAACAGAGGCAGCCTAGAATCAGACATACAACCAATACAGTCTACATGATCCACATTGCAAAACACAAATACGAAATGCCAAGACATTATGTCCCCTTCACAATTCACCAGCCCTATAGAAATATTCTCTAATAAAAACTACCTAGATGATGAATCCCAGTATACAATTTAAAAGAACAATCATAAACACCATCAATGAATCCAAAAGTTTAAAGAAGACTACTGTAAACAACTCACTGAACTTAGGAGAATAAGAATAAATCCAAGAATGAATAAATCCATAGCTGAATGAAATGACAAGACAGTTCAAGATCTGAAAACTGAATTTAGTAAAGAGGTAGACATAATGAGATCTGTCAATAACCCAATTAGAAAACCTGGGAAAGCCTTAACAGAATATTTGGACAGAATATTTGGACTTGAAGATAAAGTAGAGGAATTAGGGATGGAGAGTGAGTTTAGGCAGTTACAAGCACTCACTGCTCTTGCAGAGGAACCAAGTTCAGTTTTGGTTTCCAGTACTCATATCAGGTAGCTTATAACTCCAGCTCCAATGGATCTTCTGCCCTCTTTTGAGCTCTAATGCACTCAAACTCTTGTATATACACATAAAAATAAGAATTGGAACACACTAGCAAAGAATATGAAAAATTAACAAAACACATGAAAGGCATATAAAAAACAGTGGGACACCATGAAAAGACAATAATCTAGTCATGTGTGGTGTCCATATGCCTTTAATCCCAGCAGCCAGGGATTTTTTTTTTTTTTTTTTTTTTTTTTTTTTTTTTTTTCAAAAAAAAAAAAAAAAAAAAAAAAAAAAAAAAAGCAGCCAATTTATAGGCACAGACGGACAGGAATGTCAAGTCAATGGCACAGGCCAGATTCTCATCAACAAGATCATACAAGAAAATTCCCCCAAATTAAAGAGATATTAAACATTTGTAGCACAGCATCTCCTAGAATATCAAAATCTTAAGATATTTTTTAATTTTTGACATAGGATTTTATGTCTACAGTGTCCCAAACTCCTTATGTAGCTTAGGCTGGCCTTGAATTCCTTATTCTTGTGACTCCACCTTCCAAGTGCTGAGATTAAGAAACAACACAGTTTGAGCTGGCAAGATGGCTCGAAGGGTAAAGGCGCTTGGCAGTGAGCCTGCTGATCTAAGCACATGTATGTGTAACCATACACACAAGATAAGTGAATAAATATAACAAAGAAAAACTTAGAGTAGTTCTGTAAGTTTCTAACTATTCCAAAAAGGCTCTTCATATACCCACCCCAAACCCCACACATTACACTATATGTTTTAGGATTTAACATTAATTTTTCTTTAAATAAAGTATTTATCATACTTTATGTTTTGGAAAATCCCTCAAAAGAGAATTTTGTTTTCGTTTTGAACTCATAATCCTGCTTCAGTCTTCCAAATGCTGGGATTATAGGTGTGTACCACCTTTCCAGCTTAGACCTACGAGGTGTAAGTAGCTTGGCCACTTGTTAAAGATTTATATAATAGGGGCTAGAACCAGACCCACATAGCCTATTTCAGTATTTGCTAAGGTTAAAATTAGAATTGAGGGATAGAATTGCTGTCCCTCAAAAGCAGAAACGGCAAGGGGGGGGGAAGAAAAGGGAAAACATACTTCTGATATGTAAGGAGGGTAGGCCCAGTGTTAGGACATCTTATCCTTCTGTTGTCACATTAGGTAGCTCTTCTTACCTCATGTAAGAGAGGACCTAAACCTCTGATTTTAAGGTGGGATTAGCATACAAGTAAAATAGGAATGTAATGTCTACCTTTTAGAACTGTGATAAGAACTCATGGAAATCCTCATTATGTGCCTGAACATCACTTAAGGCCTTTCCTTAAGAACAGCTGAATTCCAGGGGTCAGAATCCCAAGGACAACACATCAAGTCTTACTTTTTGGTTCCTGGTAGCAGGATGAGGCAGAGGGTGCCCGGGCTCAGGCTGTGGTAGAGCCTTTCAATCCTTTGGTTACAGCGCCAAGCTACTATCTTTGCATGGTTCTCCTTCAGAGTCTAGGACCAAAGTGATATGTCAACATTTATCCACCTGTTCACCTTTAGAAGAGTTAAAGCACTTTCTTGGGTTCTAACACCACAGGAAGCTCTTGAGGAAAAAAAATCGCCTGAAACTGCAGTCGTCTACACACCTCAAGTAACTTAGAACCTTTGTGGCAGAGGAAAGCTGCTGTTGATCCTTCAAGTGTATCTTCCAAAAGGGCCCTAAGCTAGGGAGCCATATTACTGATGAGGTTCCCTGCCTGTCTTTGCCATTAAGGGTATCTGTGACCTTGGATGAATCACTGACCAGCTCTAATCTCTACCCCTCATCTGCTAAGTATGAGACTACAGCAAGTTTCTCAAGCTTTAAGCAGCCTTCTATCTCAACTCTTATACATGTGACTTCTTTATAAAGGCATTGCCTTTAAAATGAGTCAACCTCTGCCTTAGTCTTGCCCAATCTCAGGTCTGATGTTGTTTTATAGTTTAATGTAAGTCCTAAACTACAGAAGTGGGAACAACAAACGTCTACCTATGACAGCCAAAATTTACCTTGTATATGTTTCATACTTTGGGAAGCCCTGAACCAGTTCACTTAAGAGTTACCCAGCTCTCCAGTCTCCCACCCTGGTCCCTCAAAGCTCCTTACAGAACCCCCTTGAAGAATAAGAATGGGATTTTGGGCAAAAGTATTTGAAATCTGAGAGAACATATATGGCCAGGGCAGGAAAAACAAACCAACAAAAAGCCTGAAGGATGTAGTACCAATGACCAAAGTCTTTCCTGACTGTGTTCCAGAAACAGAAGGCCAGAGTCCAGAGCCAGAAACCCCAGCAGGTACCTTCCCCACTCACCAAGACACACTCATTACCTGGAAGACATGCTTCTCCAAGAGAGGTGGTACTATTTGAAGTCCTGAAGGTGTTGCCGGTTCAGGATGTATGTCCTTAAGCCATGCCTGGAGGTGCCTGGGGGTTAGGGCATGTCTGCCTTTCAACTTCCAGTCCTTGCCTTTGAAAATTTCAAGAGCTACTTGGGCATTGTCACGAGTTTTGAACTCTGAAAGTAGGAATAATCCCAACATTTGTTATTGAGGACCAAGAAAGCAGACCAACAGATAAACTAAGGCCTGGCTAAAGTATGGGAATAGGGTAAAATTAGGAGCTCCACCCTGGTCTACTCTAGGAGAGCTTGTTTGGTGAGTCCCTTCTTTGACCTCATGTTACTACTACCTCCAATTTCCTACAAAGCTACATTTAATGGTGTAAACTTACTCAAGAAACAGTAGTTTTTTTGCTTTCTGCTTTTAACATCTTTAGGCAGGATCACAGCTTCTAGGCCAGGAAAGAGGCTGGACTGATCCAGTAGGTGTTCTTTAAAAGTTTCACCTAATCCAGCAACATATATAATTCCTTGGTTCTCAGAATCTTGCTCTAGCTCATGCACAAGGATGTCACACTCAAGGGTGAATTCTGTCACAGGCCTGTGCACCTAACCAAGGAAAGATGATATATTAGTGGCACAAAGTCACCATTTTAACTAATTCTCTGTCATGCTATATATCAGTAAGTCAATATGCAGCTTCTTAATCTATAAGGAGGCCAATAACTGCTTCTCAGAACTGATTGTAGATTTAATCAATAAATACATAAAAATACACATTTTCATATAAATCTATATTCTCCAGTTCCCTGCCTGCTGCCTCCATTGAAATCTTGTTTACTTGTACAAAAAGAACTTCACAATACCACTATCTCACCCCCTTGAAAGCTAAAGGAATGGGAAGACTCAGAATAGCCACTCAGAACAACTATCCAAGGATAAGGATACTTAATAAGGAATCAATGAAGACCCTAGTCTAGTCCAGACTAGATTTTTATAAAACTGAAAATTACTGAGTCTTGACTAAAGGTATTTATTACAATGTCTCATGCCTGGGCGTCTCCAGGATGTCCCTACATATGGGGGCTGCTTTCAGCTTTGGCCACCTTACCCTGATGTAGGAATCTTCTACCAAAATGCCATTCATGGTCTCTATAGCCAGCTGAGCAGCTTCCAGGACTTCATACTGTATACAGAAGTGAGGCTGCAGAAAGACCAAGTTACCATCGTTACTTTCCAATTCAAACTGCTAGAGGGAGGGACTGATGAGAAAGGGACCCAAACCACAATGTCCCAGGCTAGACAGGCAGTGGATTGTATTTGTCAGTCAACTTTAAGTAAAATCACCAAAGTTCAGGAATTGATTTTAAGACAGTAACTTTCACTTTTTCATTTAAAATCCAAGACCATTGTGATGGTAATACAAGGAAAACTAACAAATTCATCACTACCTAACTTGCTCTTCATGTTTATTAAAGGCACTAAGGCCATTCATGTATGTCAGAAGCAGGCATTCCCAGATGTCCAGTTAGCTTGATTTTTAGACAGTTTTCCAGTGCACTTGGGAAGCTAAGTTCTTCCACTGGCTAGGACACATCTTAGATACAAAGTAGCTAAATCACTGTAATCACCTGAGCCATGTATCATCATAGAGAAAAGCCCTTCTATAGAAAAGTTTTATGACATTGTTTTGGGCAATATTTTGAAAATGACCCAAAGGCAAGTAACAAAGGAAAAAACAGAGACAAACTAGTTTCCTCACAATTAAAAGCCATTAAGACTACCGAATTATAAAAGGCAGTCTACAAAATAGGAAAAAGTCCTACAAGCCACATACCTATTAAAAGGCTGAAACTTAAAAATTACAGGGAGTTTCAGTTTGGAATGATGCAAAGTTATAGAGAAGCATGATCATGATGACTGTATAATATCTGTACTTAATGTGAACAGGGTTAGAAAATTCAATGTTAGGTGTATGATACAAAAACAAAAACCAACAACAACAAAAAGCCATCAGGAAGACATAAGTGGTTACAGTCTTGCAAACAACTTCCTAATACCAAGTCTATTCTCAGAGATAATATCTAATTTTTTACCTATAGAAACAAAAAAGAGTAACTTTGGAAGTCCTTATGTTTTTACTTCATGTTCATGTTATTACTGTACCAGGTTATGAGTTGCCTCAGTTCCACATTCTAAAGGTAGAAAAAAAAAGTACTGACATTTTCTCCTACTCCTTCCTTCAGCTGATTTAGTCCTCCCTCTGGAGGCCTCCATCATTACTAACCCTTCATTCTAGGAGAAACAGTCTCACTCCTGGCTGACCTGGAACTAGATCAGAGTGGCCTTGACTGAGCAGTAGTTGTGCTGCCTCTTCCTCCATGTGTCATCATGCCCAGCATCTATAGATATTATCATGATGTTTCTAGTTGTAATTTTTGTCATATCTTCTTTCATGCTTATGCTATTGCTTTAGATGTCAACTTTAGCCATTTATCTATGTATGATATAATGATGGTATAACCATAAAGATGGAGATTTATTAAGTCCTTTGAATTACATGAATTCTAAGATTATATGTATTTAAATAATTAAAAATATTTTTCCTTTTATTGAAATAGTTTTAAAATCATTAAAGTCATTAAGAGTATTTTTATAAATAAAAATCCAATATACAAATTTACTTCACTAGACTAGAGAATTAAAAAAGAAAAGCAGGCCAGCAGAACTTCTTACATTGCTCAATGCCCCTTACAATACACTAAATAAATTTCTCTTCAAAAACAGAAAATGAAAATTAAAGCGGAGTATAATGCATGGTGGCATACACATGTAATGCCAGCTCCTCAAGAGCTGAGTTAGGAAGATGGCATATCTTAGAAACAACACAGGCTACACAATGAGATCCTCTCTAAAATTAAAATAAAAAGGGTTCGAAATGTAGTTCAATGGTAGAGTACTTGTCTAACATGCCTAAGGCTCTAAGTTTAATTCCTAGACACACACACACACACACACACACACACACACACCACACACACACACACCCCTCTCACCTTCAAAACAATTTATAAATCTATAATCCTTAATTGTATCCTAGCTATTAGCCTAGTCTGTAGTTAAAACCTATACAAGTTCTTCAAGACCAACCTAGTCTACAAATTGAGTTCCAGGGCAGCCAGGGCTACACAGAGAAATCCTGTTTACAAAGCAAAACAAAACAAAACAAACACCTATATAACTTCTAAGATAGGGAAGTTACAGTTCTGTAATTTCAGTGTGTCTGTGTTTGTGTGTATGTCATGATTGGCATGTAGAAATCAGTGGACACCTTGTAAAAACTGGTTCTCTTCTCCACCAATGTTAGTCCCAGAAATTAAATTTAGATCAAATTTGGTAGCAAGTGCCTTTATCTGCTGAACCATTTTGCCAGGTAGTTTTACTACTTTTTTTTTTAAGAGTATCATTTTCTTTATTTTTCAAATGTATTATTTTTAGTTATGTGTATGTATGTTTGTGTGTGGGTATGTGCATATGCTCACAGAGGCCAGAGAGGTCTGACTCCCCTGGGGCTAGTTGTGAGCTGCCTGATGTGAACTCAGGTCCTCCAGAGGAGCAGTATATGCTCTTAACCACTGTGCCATTCCTCCAGCCCACCCTCCATCATCCCCCATCCAACTATTCTTTTTTAAAGCGTATTTTTATCACTTAAAGGTGAGGTTAGCACAAAGGCTACATTTAACTAGTAGAGATTTTGTTATTTTTGTTTTTTGAGACAGGGTCTCTCTCTATGTAACCGTGGCTGCCCTGGAACTCTCTATGGAGACCACACTGGTCTCAAACTCAGAGAGATCCTTCTGCCTCTGCTTCCTGGAGTTCTGAGATTAAAGGTGTACTATGACACATGTCTTCAGCAGACATATTTTTGTCTGGCCTACATGGTATATTTGTCTTTAAGCAAAACAAAATAAAAATTGTAAGTACACAAAAACATAAGTTCTGGAAAAAATGATTATACACGGGTCAGCTACTGCCCCCTTCAGACAGAGCTGGAGAAAATCAAGCCCATTTCATTAATCTGTTAGCTGCACAGTTCCCATAATCATCTAATTTTTCTAAGAAATAAAGTAAAAAATCTTAATTTCCTCATCTTACCATATAAGTTTCAAGAACAAGAGTTATTGATTCGACTGGGCCCAAGCTGTTAAACATCTTCTTCACAGCCTCAATGTTACAATTTTTGATAAATGGCCCAGCATAGACAGTTGACATCTCTGTCCATTTCGTCTTCATCTGTAGGAAAAACAAAAGTATGAAGAGGTGGATGTGAAAATTAACTGAAACCATAAAGCAAAGCATGGCTTACCTTTTCAAATGTCTAAAGTCCAGAGTTGATACAGGGCTGAAGAGATGGCTCAATGCCTGAGAGTACTTGTTGCTCTTGCAGAAGAGCTGGGTTTGATTCCCAACACCCACAGTAGTGGCCTACAACTATCCATAACTCCAGCTTCAGGGAACCCTCTTCTGACCTCCAAGGGTACCAAACCAAGCATGTATGTGGCACACACAAATACTTGCAGAGAAAATATTTGACCATAAAATATAAAATGAATAAATCTTTAAAAAAACATCATAGAGGTAACAAGAATCTGTATTCAAGCCAGACATGGTGGTGCATGCCTTTAATCCCAGGACTCTGAGAGGCAGAGGCAGAGGCAGAGGCAGGAGTATCTCTGTGATTTTGAGGCTAGCCTGGTATCCAGAGAGTTCCAGGACTAGATAAAGACCCTGTTTCAAAAAACAAAATAACAAAATAAAACAAAGAGTTTGTATTCAAGGATGTCCACTGCAACATTATTTATAATAGGAAAAAATTAAAAACACAAATGCTCTCAATAATAGGCATACCACACAGTGGATACCTTGCATATCCTTAAAAATAAGAAAAATAAACTATATACTGACACAGAAGATACATTTTAAATTAAATAAAAAACATAGTTGCAACAAGGGGCTGAGGCAATGGCTCCAACCAGAGTTCAGATCCCTAGCACCCACATGAAAACATGAGTGCAAGTGGCACATGTCTCTGGTCCCAGAACTGACAGTAGAGACAAGATGACCAAATCAGTGAGCTCCAGATTCAACGAGATATCCTGTCTCAAAAAATAGGCTAAAAAAACCATAAGATATTTAATGATGGCCTCTGACCTTGTCATTGCCTATGCATGCATGGGCATATGCACACACACACCCACACACCTGAACACATATACACATACACTAAACACATCATAAAATAAAGTTGTAAAACCATATACTCAGACTTATTCCTATTTTTCTAAAACATGTTTTTCAAATGTTAACATGTACTGAAATAATTTGGAGAAATGGGTGTGACTTTAATCAAGAGTGCATTACTTTCCTAATGAAGAGACATTTTAAGTTATCCAAAAGTTCAGCACAACACATCTACTTACTCTTTTCTTCATCTCTTCAGCAAGGATAGGTGAAAAGGGCTTAAAAGAGAACTGCACGATGTTGAAGGGAAACAAAGGGACTTCCACTCTAGCTTGCTCAAGCACCTGAAGAGAACAGATAGCACAGGCAGAATGAGTTAGAACCCTGTACTCACTCAACTCCATCCAGGAGCCACAATAATATAAACAGTTGCCTTCTACTTATACCCCAAAGTAGTACACAGCTGACTTCCAGGTCTAGAGAAAAATGTAACAGTATACACTCTCCTGGAAAAGCTACTAAATCACTACTTCTTTGCCTTTAGGCTAAGACCCAGCACAGTATTTGTCCTTTTTAGTTGAATATACTATGTCCCCTGTCCAAGAATAACATGCAATGAATTTCTGAAGCAGGGAGATAGAAGGGGAGCTTGTTATATCCACTTCATACATCAACCTGGTACTGTAGAACTCAGGAACAATACACGTAGGAATGTAAGACTTTCTTTCTAAAAGCAGCTTGCAACAGGGCCTGGAGGCACAGGCTTATAATCCCAACTACACAGAAGCTGAGGGTAGCAAATTTAAGACCAGGCTATGGGTCGAATTCAAGGGCAACTTAGTGAGAACCCTGTTTCAAAATAAAAAGGGCTGGGAATATAGCATAGTGGAACAGCTCTTACCATACACAAGAACTTGGGTTTGACCCTCTAATATCACATAAAAGCCATAAAGGTAATACATAACACACATAACCCATACTTTAAATATTAGTAGGAGAGCGGTTACCACACTCAAATCATCCGTGCAAAATAAATTCCAACAGAGGCCCTCATTGTTACACATTGCTGCAAGTCAGTAAATAAAATAAAAAAGGAGGCTTAAGAGAGTCATTGGTAGTGGGGGTATGTAGTGGGGAGGAAAATCAATGTGCCTGAAAGAATTAAATGAAGTATAAGCAGAAGTGCCCCTAGAAAGAAGTCCAACTAAATGCAAATAACAAGCCTGGCAGCCAGAAAGCAGCATGAAATGCATAGAAAAAAGGTGGTGCCCTTTGTAGATGTGGCAAAGATGAAAATAAAAAGGTAAATTAAAACTGCTGCAGAGGAAGATGGCAAATGCCAACTTTTCTTAACAATATTATAAATACCTCTCTTCTCCCTAAAACCATAAAATTAGTCTCAAACAAACCCCCAGCTCTTGGGAGGTAAGACATGCCAGTGAAGGGGAAATGGCACTGCAATATTTTGTGTGCCCATCTCTCTCCCTCTGAATTAACAGGAGCTTAATGGGAGCATAACTTCCCTACTCCAGAGTGTTTCTCTTGCAATGCAGAGTGGACTGTGTGCCCAATACTCCGGAAAACCTGGGAGGTGTCTGAGAAGCTGTTTCTTCTCATCTGATTTTAAGAGCTGACAGGACTAGAGGACTGTAGGGGAACACTCTAACCATGCCTTCAAGGGTGTGGTCAGGGTGACATGAGGAAGGGTTAAGAATGACGGGCATGCACATGGTAGCCCCTTCTTCCCTTTCATCATCACCTTGCTCTACTAACCTTGGACCCTGCCAGCTGGCTAGGTTGCTCTGAGTAAGGCATCTCCCTAATAAATCCCCTAATATCTTTACCCGACTCCATATTGGTAATTCACCCTTTATTTGGTGTCGAAACTGGGTGTGCCCCGTTCGGGAATACATATGGGGACAGCCTGCCCATTCAAGCAGCAAGCCAGTACCTTGCCTGGCCGGGAGAGTCGTCCTTTCCCACAGGCGCTGCTGCTGCCCCCTGTCCAACCAAGCACATCTGCCCATGCCACTTCAGCCTGCCCATGCCACTTCAGCCCGCCCGTGCAAACTGCCAAACCACAATACCAGCAGCCGCCACGATAGAGCATGGTTCCTGCCCAGTACTTTTCGTAGGTTTTCTCACAAACCCTGCTCCCAAAAGCCCACCCCTCTTCCACCCGATCCTAACTTGGTCCCCAGAGCTCCTACTGTTTTTCAGATTCAACTAACTGAACACCTGTGCCACCTGCTGGTCAAAACCAGTTACTGCAACTGGAGTAGAAGCCACCAGATAAATCATGGCAGAATATTTATCATTTGCTTCAATTGGTAATATCTTTGCTTCTTATGTGAATTCAATGTTAGAGGAGGTACCTGATTTGCCAATTAGTATCTGATTTGCCAATTACCTGCCTATTTGCCGTATTAGCAGCCTGCATTATGATAGAACTGATCTCTCTAGCCAGAAGCCTCAGAAACAGGGACAGAGACAATTTCACCACTTGCTTACAGTAAATAAAAGCCAGTCAACAAAATTTGGTATCTCAGTTCCAAGAGGTGAAACGTTTACGTAAAGAGGTAAAGGATACTCAGTCTGGCCATGCCACACTGTTAAAGAAGGTGGAACAGATCCATGGAAAAATAGATACTAAGCATTGTTCTATGTCCGATACACTAGATACAATCTTGTCTGTTACCCAGGACGAGGTACATCAGATTTATGGTAAAATAAACACAAAGATATGCTCCATGTCCAAGGTTTCATGTCTAAGAACCATGAGAAACTGAAGCATATATAGAAATAAGAATATGCTTTGTGTCTGAGGCTTTAGATGCAAAGGTAGCAGATAACCAGAACAAGACTGACGACTTGGCTAAGACCATTCGCTCTATTTCTGATGTATCTATCTACTGTGACAGGTCACAAGCTCGAGTCTAGGATTGGTTATCTGGAAGGCAGTTTGCATGCCATTCAGATGCTATCTAAGGAGGAGCATATTAAAGGTTTAGAAGCACATGAAGAGAAAGAAATAGGGAAAATTAAGAATTCTATGACATGTTTGTAATCTCACATGATTCAGAAAATTGAAGCTATTCATGAGACTATGGTAGCTAGGCTAAAAGTTCAGTGGGATGACTCGGAAGCAGAATCACTCCAATCCGATCCACCTACTCCACTCAAACATCAGGAAAACTAGATACAATCTAAGATACAAAAAACTAAGGTTACTACGTGTACAGCACTGATGTTCCCAGAAACCATGATAGAAAAACCACCCTCTAAAAAGCATCCTCTTGGGCAGATGGCGTATCAATGGCAGCCCATACAGTTAAAAGATCTCAAGAGTATTAAGGAATCAGTTGTCTCATATGGTCTCCATAGTCTGTACATAAAGCAATTATTACATTTGTGGGCAACTTTTAACAGGGTGACACCCACAGACTGGGAAAGCCTAGTAGCAGCTGTACTTGAAAATTTGTCCCAGATACAATGGAGGGCTCAGTGGAGGGAGGAAGGAAAGACCTCAAGCTTCAAGGCATAAGGAACGGTTATGAAGCTCCACAAGATAAGATCCTGGATGAGGGTATTTATGCTAACCCACAGATTCAGGCTGAATATGATGACCATATATTGTCCTTGTGCAAGACAGACGCCTTAAATGCCTGGGACAAGGTTCCTGAGCCAGGAGAAAGAGTGAAGACTTATACCAAGATAGAACAGGGACCAACAGAACAGTTCCCTGGCTTTTTACAAAGACTACCTAGGGAGTAGAATTGCAGGTAACAGATCTAGAAACAAGAAAATATATACACTATAGCTTATGAAAATACAAACCCAATATGCAAAAGAATACTTTTGCCTTTAAAGCTCAGACCAGTGCCACTGGAAGAATGGGTTTTGCATACAGATAACCTCGACTATAATGTACAAGATACAGGAGCTTGTGTAGGAGAGGCAATTTGAAAGGTTTATAAAGGCAACAGGAGATTAAAGGTTCTAAAGGTAATGACTCAGAGGCTAGAGAGGAGAAGCACCTTGAGGTCAACATAGGTACCAAGAAGCCAGATGCTATCACTACTATGAACCAGGAACTTGGGTATAAAGAGCCTTCCCCTGGGGGCCAAGAAGGTACCAGGAACCTAGATGTTTCATCTGTGGCAGAATAGGACATAGTCAGAGAAATTGTAGGCAAGGGAATTCTAACAATGTCTCATATGGAAGGCCTCCACCTTCTGGATTGTGTAAAAGATGTGGTAAGGGCAGACACTTGACCAATGAATGAAGATCGACCAAAGATATACAAGGAAACCCATTACGGTCAGGAAACTCCATGGGGGGGACCTCAAGAAGGCCCCCACATCTAGGAAGATCTGGTCATTCCTAGTTGCTGTGGGGGAAAATCTCTCACAGGAGGAATAGATAATATATTGCCTATTGTAAAAAATGTGCTACTCTGGATGGTAGTTTGGCTAATGATGAGAAATCAAACATGATTGGAGGAGACGAGAAACCCATATTTTGGCAAACTTCTATTAATGATAAGAGACCTTACTTAAAAGTAAGAATTAATAATAAAGTTTTTACCAGGATCTTGGACACTGGTGATGATGTGACTATTATTACCCAAAAGTCCTAGCCTCAGAGATGGCCACTTAGAGAGGTGAATGTACAATTTTTAGAAATTGGAACTTTATCTAGATTTTGGCAGAGTGTTAATTGGTTGGTCTGCATTGGACTGGAAGGACAGAAAGGAAGGCTGAAACCATATGTCAAAGACATAGCTATACATCTCTGGAGTCATGATCTTTTATAGCAATGGAATACCCAGATTAACATTCCTCCAGTATCAGATGCAAAGTAGGTATAATCTTTAGATGGTAGACAAAATTTAGTAAGGCACTATGGAAAACAGTTGCCAACCATCCAAGCTGTACAGAAACTAAGTACAAATGATAGACCCTCAGAGGAGCCTAAGGCCCTACCATTAAAGTGGCTTACAGATGAACCTGTCTGGGTAGGACAATGGCCTATGACCTCTGAGAAACTAGAGGCTTTAGTTCAGGAACAGCTAGATGCTGGAGATATAGAAGAATCTACCAGCCCTTGGAATTCTCCTGTATTTGTTATTAAAAAGAAGTCAGATAAATGGAGAATGCTCACAGACCTGAGAGCCATCAATAAAGTGATTAAGCCTATGGGCTCTCTGAAGCCTGGTATGCCTTTGCATTCCTTGATACCTAAAGGATGGCCTATCATAGTCATTGATCTCAAAGATTGTTTCTTCACTATACTGTTACAAGAAAATGGTAAGAAAAAATTTGCGTTTACTGTACCAACTCTTAATAATTCACAGCCAGTTAAGAGATTCCAGTACAAGGTTTTGCCACAAGGAATGCTAAATAGTCCTACCTTGTGCCAGCACTTTGTACAACAACTTTTGGAAATAATTCATAAGAAATTTCCACAATACCTTCTTAACCATTACATGGATGATATTTTATTATCACATTGTAATAAAGAAACATTAGAACGGATGTTTGAAACAGTGAAGGAAGTTCTGCATCACTGGGGATTACAAACTGCCCCAGAAAAGATGCAAAGAGGAGATTCTATTATTTAGGTTATAAGATAGACTTATGAAGAATCAGGCCTCAAAAAGTACAAATTAGAAGAGATCATTATCATACCCTTAATAGTCTTCAGAAACTACTAGGGGAAATTTCATTTCTCAACTACAGACAATAATTGGTGTGGAAGGACATGATTTAAAGCATTTAAAAATGGCCCTTAAAGGGGACAAGGACTTAAACAGTCCATGAATATTATCCACTGAAGCAGAAAAAGAATTATAATGGGTAGAAAGCAGAATACTGGATGCATATGTAGATCATGTAGACCCTAATTTAGACTGTTCTGGTCATCTTACCATCCAGAGAATACCCTTCTGGGATTCTGATGCAGTGAGAAGATATATTGGAATGGATATTTCTGCCACATAAACAGAATAAAAACCTAAAGACAAATATAGAAAAGATTTCTGATTTGATTCTAAAAGGCAAATTAAGACTCCACCAACTAACTGGAAAAGATCCAGCAGAAATTACAGTACCTTTGACTAATGAAGAAATTTCCTCCTTATGAAGGACAATGAATATTGGCAGACAGCTCTTACTTTTTGGGAAAAATCAGCAACAAATTAAATTAATTGACAGAATTAAATTCATAAAAGACAATCTGGATCCTTCCACGCACTGTAAGATGAACTCCTATTTCTAGAGTTCTTAATTTCTACACTGATGCCAACAAATCAGGTAAGGCAGGTTATAAAGCAGGAGAGGTAAGTAAAGTAGTTCAAAGTCTGTATACAGAAGGCAGAATTATATGCAATTCTTATGATACTTATGGATTTTACAGAGCCTCTTAATATAGTTATGGATTCTCAATATACAGAGAGAGTCGTGTTACACATTGAGACTGCAGAGATTTGTTCCTGATAATACAGAATTAACTTCACTGTTTATACAATTACAGGACACAATAAAAAAGAGAACTAATCCTTTATATATGACAAATATCAGATACCATATGGGTTTGCTAGGCCCACTAGCACAAGGCAATGATCAGATTGATCATTTATTAATAGGAAATGTGCTAGAAGCCTCAGAATTTCATAAAAAAAACACCATGTAAATTGCAAAGGTTTGACAAATGACTTCTCCATCACTTGGCAACAAGCCAACGAGATAGTGAGAAACTGTCCTACCTGTTCTTTTTATAATCAAGCTCCATTGCCAGCAGGCTATAACCCTAAAGGCATTCAGAGAAATGAGGTTTGGCAGATGGATGTCTTTCAGTTTGCAGAATTTGGAAATCTAAAATATGTGCATCATAATATAGACACATTTTCAATGTTTCAATGGGCTACTGCTCATAGTTCTGAAAAGGCAGATTCTGTTATTACATACCTGCTAGAGGTGATGGCTATTATGGGTATACCTACACAAATAAAAATTGACAGTGCTCCAGCATTTGTCTCCAAAAAATTGGAACAGTTTTTCAAATATTATAACATAAAGCATGTTACTGGAATACCACATAATCCCACAGGATAAGCAGTGGTGGAGAGATCTAATAGAACACTGAAAGAAATGCTCTATAAACAGGCTGGTGGTACGAAAACTCCCAAACATAGGCTACATAATGCATTACTAACTATAAACTTTCTTAATGCTAATGAGAAAGGACAAACAGCTGCAGAAAGGCACTACGGGAAAAAAACTGAATCTGCCGGTATACTTCAAAGATGTATTGACCTCTGTCTGGAAACCAAGACATGTGTTGGGGAAGGGGTTTCACATTTGTTTCCACAGGAGAAGACAAACTTTGGATACCATCAAAGTTGATCAAGATTCAAGTTGAAAAAAAAAAACCCTCTCAACGAGGAGAAATGACAGGTATTCTACCAAGGTATATCCCATAAACTGGATGGAAACCTCACAAAGGAAAGGAAAGTGTTTTGTTTTTATTTCCACAGGAAAACTCATCTCCAGAAGTCAAAGAACACTACATGGGTAGAAGATATGGTAGCTATAACCATCGAACAACAGAAAACTGCCATATGTTAAAATACTGTAGATGCATCTACACCTGTTTCTCTTTGTTTCCTAGTCCCCATTTAATTAAATCAATGCTGGCTTTAGAGTTGGATTTGGCTTTCCTCCTCTAAATCCAAGCACGTTGTTAAAATAAACTTCAGGGTTTCTGTATTATGTCAAGAAGCCAACTGATGTAATACAGAATAAGAAAAAACTGGGACTGTCATTTGTCTTTTCTTTCTCTCAAGGTATATTATATACTCTCTCATAATTGTTATTTTCCCATGGTTGCCTTTCCCGGTATGCATACAAGCAAACATTTCTCTGCTAACATTTATGTTTGAGTCCCATACAGCCAATGAAGATCTGCCTGACAGCAACCCCTGGACGCTCCAAAAAGAAAATGGACTACACCTCCTCCAGTAAACTGGATCCAACTTGCTTCGTTTCAACTGACACTCTGGCCAGAGCTTTGAGTACTGACTTCAATCAACCCAAGGACTTCAAACAAGTTAAGGACTTCAACCTGGATCTTCAATCAAGCAAATCCATCAAAAACGGACTGGATACAATCTACTCAAGACTTTCACTATACTAACATTTTCTTCCTACAGGACCCCATGAGGCTATCACCATCCCATTTCAGCAGGAAGTAAGTAGGAGAATACTACGTCCCCTTTTCCCCATTGTTGTCACTAAGGATAATGTACACCTAGTTAGGGATAGTTTCCTATTGTTTAGGGTTGGGATTGGAAGGAGTTGTTCAGGCTTGGACACCTCTTTCAGATGACTTTAGGGTTTAGTTAGAATAGACATAGTTAGGATATGTGTGTGTGTGTGTGTGTGTGAATAATATTAAATAAGTTTTAATTTGATGGGAGAGTTGGAGGAGGTAGAGGGAAGAATGAAAATACAGTATTCACACATGTAATTCTCTTAAAGAATTTTAAATTAACAAAATCAATTGTTGGGCTAAAATGGTGGCTTAGTTGTTAAGAGCACTGGCTGTTCCTCCGGAGGCCCTAGGTTCAATTCCCATCCCCCACATGGGAACCCAAACTGCCTGTAACTTGGGATCTGATACCTTTTTCTGGGCTCCATAGGCACTTGGCATGGACAGATATACACACAATACCCATGCACATAACACCAAAAAAATAAATTACACCTAATAAATTATTAAATAAGAGAACATTTCAGGAGCTCAGAAGGGTAAACAGCGTGCCGAACAAGCACAAGGGCGTGAGTTTGGCCCCACATAAATAAAAGCCAGAAATGGCAGCATCCTTAAAATCCCAATGATGGGTGGGTAGGGAAGACAAATTAGTACTGGGCTCATATTACATACATAGAACAATGATAGATAAAATATAAAAAGGTATACTCAAGCTGCAAAACAAACATCTCCATACACCAGAAACAGAAGTTCTAAGTGACTGTGCAAGATCAAACCTGCTGCTGGTCTCTGAAAGCAGACACTGACAGCTGGCAGCTCTGCTCCTATGAAGTAACAGACTTAACAGAGTTCCATGAAAGATTTGAGATAGAAGCCAGACTTGCTCATTTTAGTCAGTGTTACTGGTGCAAAATTCTTGGCACTTCTATGGATTATACAAAGGGTTACATCTTCCTCTTTTGTGAATACATACTACAAAGGTACAATAGGTCATTCACCTCTTTATTTGAAGAGCACCTAATAGTTTGACAGTTTCTAGAAGAAGAAAGTTCATCTATATCCCGGGTCAGGAAAAGGAGTTTCTGACCCACTGAGTCCAGGCATTCTAAAACACTGTAAAGAAGTGAAAGACAGTAAAATAAGAATGGTCATTTTTAGGTTATGACTTCCTAGTTAAATTTTGTGCTTATAATGCTGTCCGATGTAGTAGTCACTAGCAACATTTAGCTATATAAATTTAATTAAAATTCAATTAAAATCCCAGTTAATCAACTGCATTAGTCCTATGTGATTAGTGGTTTCCACACTCTCCAGCATATTTTCATCACTGCAGAAAATCAAACTAGATGGTGTTATACTAACAGAAGGGAAAATAAACAAGAAATAACCCTAAAGCTATCAAGATTTAAGCCACAGTTTAAGCATTTGACACACTCATTATGGTCTGAAATCAAACTCTTTCTGAGTGTGTGTGTGTGTTTCTCCAATTTGCATTAAAGGATACAAGCTGAGTTTTCTAACATAAAAATACCAACAACTCTAACATTCTCTTCTTTTCTCCCTCCTCCCCCAAGACAGGGTCTCTCAGCATAGCCCTGGCTCTCTTGGAACTTGATCTGTGCAGCAGGCTAGCTTTGAACATGGAGAGTCCCATCTCCCTCTGCTTCCCTAATTCTGGGATTAAAGGCTCTATCATGTCTTCTAATAATTCTCAGTTCAATTACTTCTGTGTTCTTTCTTTTTGTAAACAAAAAATATCATTTTAGACATTGGTCATAGTCAGAAAACTAGGAAGCACATTCTTTATTTTCCTTTGCTCTTACTTGAAATGGAAAACATTACCTCATATTTGGGCACTCAGTAGGTCCTCCCTTGTTTCCTGGTTCTTGACTGGCTGCTTTCAGTTCTTCATGACTAGCTAGTGCCTCCAGATTGAGCTCTGCAATCTATAAGAAAATAAAGTGGTAACAATCATTTTAAGTTTTTATACTGAATTTGAGGGAAAAAATCCACTAAGTGATATTCTCTGCTTCTTTAGAACTATGGTTGTACCAGTGCCTTAGGCACAAGCTGGCTTCAGTACTATCAGATGGTTTAAAACTGCTTAGCCAAGAACAGCAATCTGTCACTACCTACTAATGTTACATGAGCATGGTTTAAAAAAGCCAAGAGAGGCTGAGTGAAAAGTGATGGCAATCTTGGCTCATCATTCCTTAGTCAGTCCCTTAAAATGTATTTCTCTGAAAATATGTAAGTTTTAGAAATGAAAAAAAAAAAGACTTTTACTACAACATCAAAATAGTCAGTACATTAATACAAAATTGTCAAAAGTCTAATTGATATTTTTTCTTCTTCATGAAGTGGGAGTCTACTTGGGAAGTGAGATACAATTTTTTAAAAATAACCTATTTGGGGGTTCGATGGATGGTTCAGTGGTTAAGGGCACTTGTTGCTCTTAAAGAGAATTTGGGTTCAATTCCTTGCACCCACATGGTGGCTCATAACCATCTTTAACACCATTTCCAGGGAATTCAATCTCCTCTTCAGGCCTACACCAGCACCAGGCATGCACATAGTGAACAGACATCCACACAGGCAAAAACATTAATACACATAAAATAAATAATCTAAATGACAAAACAAAACAAACCACCAACCTCTTTGTGTCTCCCTGTGTCCTACCATTCCCAGAGAAGATGCTGCTTAGCTCCTCTATGGGAACATGCGTAATAGTAACGTCTGTTAAAAAATTATAACCACCTACCAGGAGAGGAAGAGACTCCTGCTTATCCAACAGAAGAAAGGATGAGAAGAGGACAATGTAATAGCACATTCAACAACAGAAAAAAACAATATGACACCACTGAAGACTAGGGACCATACACCAGCAAGACCTGAACATCACAATGCAGATGAAGCAGAGGAGAATGACCTTAAAATCAACTTCATGAAAATGATAGATGACCTCAAAGAAGACATGAGAAAATCCCTTAAAGAAATGGAAGAAAAAACAAACCAAAAAATACAAGATATCAACAAATCTCTCTCAAGGAAACAGTTCAAGACCTAAAAACTGAAATAGAGACAATAAAAAAAGCACAGTTTGAGGGAATGCTGGAAATAGAAAACCTGGGTGAACAATCAGAAACTACAGATGAAAGCATAACCAACAGATTATAAGAGATGGAAGAGAGAATCTCAGGAGTTGAAGATGCACTAAGAGAAATAGACTCATCAACCGAAGAAAATCTTAAGTCCAACAAATCCGTAACACAAAATATCCAAGAAATATGGGACACCATCAAACCTAAGAATAATAGGTATAGAAGAAGGTGAAGAAATCCAACTCAAAGGTGCAGAAAACATATTCAACAAAATCATAGAAGAAAACTTTCCCAACCTAAAGAAATATATGCCAATGAAAATACAAGAAGTCTACAGAACGCCAAATAGACTGAAGCAAAAAAGGTCTCCTCACCATATAATAACCAAAACCCCAAAGATACACAATAAAGAGAAAATATTAAGAGCAGCAAAGGAAAAATGTCAAATAACTTATAAAGGCAAAACTATCAGAATTACACCTGAATTTTCCATGGAAACTCTGAAAGCCAGAAGATCCTGGCTAGATATTCTATCTATGCTAAGAGACCATGGATGCCAGCCCAGACTACTATACCCAGAAAAGCTTTCAATCATTATAGATGGAGAAAACAAGATATTCCATGACAAAACAAGATTCAAAAAATACATAGTCAGCAGTCCAGCCCTACAGAAAGTTCTGGAAGGAAAACTGCAACCCAAGCAAGTTAACTACAATCAGAAAAATATAGGCAATATATAGTCCCACTTTACCAACAGCCAAAAGGAAAAAGGGATAGAATCCCTCACACAATTTCACCACCATCACCAAATCAAAAACAAACAAGAATGAACAATCAATGGTCATTAATATCCATCAACATTAATGGTCTTAACTCTCCTATAAAAAGACACAGATTAGCAGAATAGATGAGAAGACAGAATTTATCCTTCTGCTGCATACAAGAAACACACCTCAACTTCAAAGACAGACGATAACTAAGAATTAAAGGCTAGGAAAAGATTTTCCAATCAAATGGACCCAAGAAACAAGGAGGGTTAGCAATGCTAATATCCAACAAATTGGACTTTAAACTAAAATCAATCAAAAGAGATGAAGGAGGTCACTTCCTACTCATCACAGGAGAAATCCATCATGATGAAGTCTCAATTCTGAACATTTATGCCCCAAATACAAAGGCATCCACGTTTGTAAAAGAAACAAAACTAAAACACAAATCACACAAAAAACCACACACTTATAGTGGGAGACTTCAACACTCCACTCTCACCACTGGACAGGAACACCAGACAGAAAGTTAACAAAGAACAAAAGAACTAATAGAAGTTATGGTGCAACTGGACTTAACAGATATCTATAGAACATTCCTTCCAAATACAAAACTATATACCTTCTTCTCAGCGCCACATGGAACCTTCTCTAAAATCAACCACATACTTGGCAACATAGAAAACCTCAAAAGGTACAAAAAAATTAAAATAACCCTCTGTATCTTATCAGACCACCATACTTTAATGTTAGAATTCAACAAAAACATCAATTGTAGAAAACCTACAAACTCATGGAAATTAAGTAACACCCAATTACACAAATCCAGGGTCGAAGAAGAAATAAAAAAAATAAATAAAAGATTTCCTAGACTGGGCTAGAGAGATGGCTCAGTGGTGAAGAGCACTGACTGTTTTTCCAGACGACCCGGGTTCAATTCCCAGCACCCACATGGCAGCTCACAGCTGTCTATGACTCTAGTTCCAGGGGATCTGATACCTTCAGATACCAACGTATATAAAAAGGTTAAATAAATTATTTTTTAAAAAAAGATTTCCTAGAATTCAATGAGAATGCGGACACAACATACCCAAACTTATGGGACACTCTGAAAGCAGTGCTAAGAGGAAAGTTCATAGCGCTAAGTGCCCACATGAAGAAACAAGAGAATAATCACACTAGAAAATTAACAGCACAACTGAAAACTTTAGAACACAAAGAAGCCAATACACCCCAGAAATAGCAAATGCCAGGATATAATCAAATCAAGGGCTGAAATCAATAAAGTGGAAACTAGGAGAACAATAGAAACAGTTGGTTCTTTGAGAAAATCAATAAGATAGACAAACCTTTATCAAACCTTAGTAAACAGCAGAGAATGAATATGCAAATCAATAAAATCGGGAATGAAAAGGGGGACATAACAACAGACACAGAGGAAATCCAGAGAATCATCAGGTCATACTTTGAAAACCTTATTCCTCAAAATTCAAAAATCTAAAGGAAAAGGACAATTTTCTGGATAAATATCACTTACCAAAATTAAACCAAGAACAGACAAGTAACTTAAATAGACCTATAACCCCTAATGAAATAGAAGCAGTCATCATAAGTCTCCCAACCAAAAAAAGCAGAGGGCCAGATGGCTTCACTGCAGAATTCCACCAGAAATTCAAGGAACAGCTAATACCAATTCTCCTTAAAGTATTCCACACAACAGAATCAGAAGGATCATTGC